TCAGGGGGATTTTCTGTCCTAGATGTCGTGAGCATGGCAGGCGGGCATGACTGAGTCTTTGCATCTGAAGTCAGGAGACACTGGTAGTGGAATGAGGGCATTTTCCAAGGAGAACGTCTCTCCTGCAGCTGTGTGTCAGGGAGCAGGGGTCACACTCAGCTCTGTCAGAAATCTGTGGCCCTGTACACTTCTAATAACTGAAAAAGACTGGCAGACCCCCGGATTTTTTTTTTTTTTTTTAATTATTTTTAACTGAATGATTCACAATAAAATTCTTATTATGACCTGGTGGTGGTGGTGTGCCGAGGAGTCAATTCCGATTCATAGTAACCTTGGATGAGGTTTCCCAGGCTGTAAATCTTGATGGGAGCTGAAAGTCTCAACTGTCTTCTGTGAAGCAGCTGATAGATTTGAACTGCTGATTTTGTGGTTAGCAGCCTAACTCATTACCCACTACTCTACCAGAGCTCCTTTTTTACTTTGACCTAAATACACTTAAAATATTGTTCCACTGACTGTTGCTGTTCAGTTGCTGTTCAGTTACCACCTTTTAGTAGAGTGTTGAGAAAATTGAAGAGGCAAATGTTAGCTTTTGTCTCATCTGGCCTTAGTTGTGTCTCCATTGTGTGGATGCTGTTGAGCCAGTTCTGACTCATAAAAATCTTAAGTGACAGAGTAGAACTGTCTCATAGGGTTTCCTAGGCTGAAATCTTGATGGAAGCTGAGCTCAGTCTTTTTTCCCACCAATCGACTGACTGCCGACCTTTTGGTTAGCAGCCTAGCACTTCATTGTCATGCCACCCCTTGCTTGATGGCCTTGTATTTATCTTTTACCAGTGTAGAAGGAACCGTGGCCTTGGTCTGAGATTGGACCATCCCTCTGTCTCTATCATAAAGAGACACTAGGCATCAGCATTACAGAAAAAATACTGCTCGCCAGAGACTATGTCAGAATGTGGGGTTTCTCCGCTGATGATTGAGCATATACAGTAAAAGCTATCTATGACAGCTGGAGCATCTGTAAGGCAGGCAACTTGCCAGAGGAGGAAAATGCAAATATTTCCCACTGCTAGAGAGCAGTGGAAAAGTGGTAAAATTGCACCTGTCAAAGGTGGACAAATTCTGAGACCCAGAAAAACAAGGCTGTCCCGACAGGGTCCGCCTCTCGCTGGTTTCACTGTCTCATTGCCCTAACGTTTATTGTATTGTACATTTTGCTGGGGCTTCAGTGTATAATTCTGAGTCTTTCTGGAATTGAATTAGCTGCTCCCTGGTGGTCTGTAGATGATGCCTGTAGGCCAGGATGACTCACAACATAGGGGGACATTTGGTTACAGGTTTACCTCACGAGATCGAGCTCTGATTAGTAATACTTTAATTGACCTGACATTGAATTGAGACAAGGGAGCATTTATGACTAATGTCCTTCAGTTTCTGTCCATTTAGGAGACATCGTGGGGAAGGAGAAAGGATTTGGCATTCTGCCCATCACTCCCTAACCTTTGGACACCAAACAGCCCATGGAAGGTGGGTGGGTGAGTGGCCTGGAGCATTTGAGCAGGGAGATCCAGAATGGAGGGTCTTTGCGTCAAGGCTGAGCTCTGCGTTCTTGGCAGTTTGGTCAGTGTGAGAATTTGGGGTACATGTGTGTTTCCATATCGTGGAGGAAGCAGTGTAAGCCCAGTAGTCTTCACCAGAAGAAGCTTCTCTCTGATGCCGAATGAACCACTTCATCCCTGAACCGCATGTTCTCATCTAAGATGAGGGGATGGGTTGGCTAGTCTTTGTGTTTCCTTTTGCTTTGCCATTTGATTATTCCATACCTGCCTGGTTAACATCCCAAAGGACTTACGAAGCAGCAACTGTAGCACTTCTAAATAAAACCCAGTCTAGAGGAAAAGCATTCATCCAAGGCACACAGCCATGTGGACATGGAACGCTCTGGTTTTAAATGAAACGGGACCTTCCATTCCACTCACTTATGCGCCTTCTCCCCAACTGCAGCCTGGCAGGACCGCAGACACTCAAGATGTGCTTTTTGCCCTGGATTTTGGGCAAATGACTTACTTAGCTTCCCTGAGCCTGAGCCATTGTCATCTGAAAAGTAGGAATAAAACCATTTACACATGGACTTGTAGGAATCCCATGCGCCAGTCTGTACTTATGGCCAAGGAGAATTCTGGAGTCTCCTGATAAGAAAGGGCATCAGTGGCTATAGCCCACTTGTAGGAGTCAGCCTAGTTCCCTGACCAGTGACCAGGCTGCATTGCTGGGGTTATCATATGTAGTTCATTTTGTCCTGAAATGTCCCAGGCCTTCTGCCTGTAGTCTGTGAGGGACCAACAGTGTTTTATTTACTACAGAATCCAGGGATGCCCTTGGGGCCAGTAGAAAGAAGCCTTATTGAAGAGCCAAAATGAGCAATTCGTAACAGAAGACGTAATTCTTAGTTCCAACAACTTTGTCACATCTTCAAAGACTAGATTTTCCAACTATGATGTTGGAAGAACTGTGTCTTTGATTTCTAGCGCTGCTCTAACAGCAGTCCCACAAAGGACGGGGGGGGGGGGACTTTCACAAGCAGAAATATATTTTCTCACAGTTTAGGAGGTTAGAAGTCCAAATACGGGGCACCAGCTCAGTAGGGAGGCTTTCTCTCTGTCGGCTCTGGGGAAAGGTCCTCGTCTCCTTTCAGCATCTGTCAGCCCAGCATTCTTTAGAGATCTCTAGTATCTTGGCAGCAATTTTCCCCTGGAGCTTCACAGGGAGTGAGCCCACGTACGAAGTACATACTCCATTCCCGACTCTTCTTTTCTGATGATAGTAGGTTCCTCTCTCTGCTCATTTCTCTCTCCTTTTATCTTTATAAGATGAAAGATATTGTAGACCACACTCCCCGAGGAAATCTCCCTTCAATGATTGGCTACTCGTAGCATATCCCCTCAGAGGAGTGATTACATTATATTAGATCTCTTCATGGAGAATTATTACATTTTAACTCTAAGCCACTGAGAATCCTGGTCCAGCTAAATCGACATAAAGCCCTAATCATCACAGGCTGAGTCTTACGTATGTCCCAGGGAGGCCTGAAGAAATACGCCTATTCTTTTAGAAGACATGTCATAGTAGTGCTGGAAGTTTCTCATCTCAGAGTTTCCTGGAACTTTCCAGAAGTTCATGTTCAGGGTGGGACCACGGGACTCTGAATCCATTCTTTGGTCTACAAGAGTAAGGACCACAGACCAGTTAGCTTGAGGCTGGCTGAGACTGAGAAACTGTCACTTGAAAATTTCAGTTCACAGCCCAGAATCTTTCTTGGTTTACCTGACTGGCATTAAGCCCACTTTTGTGAAGTATAAGCTCATCTAATTCCACAGTAGAGAAATCGTTACATGCATTTGTGGTGGGGGAGGGGGAGCAAGGGGAAGAACTCCTAGGTATCTGCCATAGTTTGAAGATGCTATTTATATTTTTTGGTATTTGGTTTCTGGATGCTCATGAAACAGCTGAAAAAGGAAAAAAGGAGTATGACAAGAAAAAGTTTTGAAAAGGTCCTATTGAAAGTCACATATGGTATGTGCCCTTTGGCTGCCTGAGGAGGTGGTGAACGTCCTGGACTGGTGGGGATGGCCCCCGTGAAGTTAGCCCTGTGATGCATGACAAGTACCTCAGTTTCTCATCTGTAAAATGGGCAGATCTGCTTTACCAATCATTGAGCTGGTGGGTGTAACTGCGTGGAGCACCGAGAGTGACCCTTATGAAGTGTTGTTAGTGTGGTTTCTACTGGTACCTGGTGTTCCAGGTTGAGTGACAGGGATCTGGGCACCACGGCCCTGGTGCTTTCTTGGGCTAATTTGGTTCTTCTCTAGGTCCCTGAGGGTCTAGGACTGGGGGGAGAAGAAGTTCCAAGATGCTCAGGGCTGTTCTGAGTTGTAGCATGCCAATTATAAGACAAGAGTTCTCCCAGCGTTGTCTCTTCAGGGCAGGAGACCCTCATACTCACCTGGACAGCAGGAATGAAGTTGTCTGCATAACAGAGTAGAATTAGAAAAGAAGGGAGAAAGTGAGAGAAAACACCATTCCTGAAGCATCTGCTGTATTCTGGAGTCCCTGTGTGCTGTAGACAGTTAACGTATTTGTCTGTTAAGTTGGAGGTTCAAGCCCACTTACAGCCACCTCAGAAGAAAGGCCAGGTGAGCTACTTCTGAAAACTCAGCTATTGACACCATTGGTTCATCATGAGTTGGAGTCACCTTGATGACAACTGATTGTAGACCATATCCCGGGCACCAGGCTTGGGCGTTTCTGATCCATATCTCTCATTTCAGACTCATTTCAGTCCTGGGAGCTGGGTGGTGGTCTCTCCACGGGGCTGAAAGGAGACTCGGTGGGTCTTGGTTTTCAGCTGGGTGTGTGGTCCATAAGGCCAGATATCCCATCACCCCTTGAGGTCATGATGGTAGAGCCCTGCATGGTTAGTGGTTTGAATTTTTGCACAGTAAACGAGTTCTCTCTTTCTAAGCCGGCCTGGTCGGGGTCCACATAAAGGCAGATTTGTAAATCTTGCTTCTTAACACTCCTTTGATGCTGTGCAGTCACTGCTGCTGCTTGGGGACCCACTGGATACCTTGGTACCCGCATCATTGGATTGCAGTGGTCCCTTTGGGAAAACTCTCGCAAACCCTGTCATAATCATCTAAAAAGTCACTGAAATTGGGCCATGGATTTTTGGATGTGTTCTGGGTTACTTGCCAATATTGTGTTAACATTTATTCTAGAGAAATTTCTGTTGCGAGTGGCAATCCATAAATGTATTCATGTTTCAAGACAGTCAAACAAAAAAAAGGTCATGTCGGAAGCACCAAGAAGATGAATTTTCAGAGAAGTTGACCAAGCACTTATCCGCTTAATCCCAAAGGGTAAGGAAGACCGAATCAATCTCAAGCCTTAAAAAATATACCCAGCAGTGACCAGACTGTTTTTGTGGTTCTGTTTTGTAGGATCGGCTACCCAATTCCAATGTTTGCGGGCTTCTGCATCATGTTTATCTCCACCATTAGTAAGTGTCTTATGTCTGCCTTCTGGGTGTGGGTCCCGATGAGCTCTGACAACCTGGAGCTAGGGAGCAGGAAAACAACCCAGAGTGTTTTCTTGTTGGTAAAACCTGCAGAAAGGAGTTCAGGGAGAGGTCTGAAAAGAGCAAACGTCCAATGTGCTTACGAATGAACAAATACCACTGGTTTGTGAAAGGGCTCCAGCAGTTGCCCTGGGGTACGCTGTGTGCAGACAGCATCCTGGGATGGGCCTGACCAAGCCCTGCTCTGTTCTCCTGCAGTGTTTGCCTTCTCCAGCACCTACGCCATGCTGCTGATCGCCAGGGCCCTGCAGGGCATTGGTTCCTCCTGCTCTTCTGTGGCTGGTAGGTGGGGTGATCCCTGAGTACACCTGTGATTTGGAGGGAACCACCAGCGTGGCCCTGGTTAGCTGAGCCCTTACAAAAGCAACTGTAATAATTCAGGAATCAAGGTACTGAGGGATGGGGGCGCTTTGGAAGAAACTGCCCATGGTCCTCTTGGGATCTGCTGTGGCCTTACATTTTAGTCAATTTGACAGATTTGGGAAGGAGCCTAGGATGATTCTTTTGGTGTCTCCAGAGCTGGTTTCATGGTGTCTCTTCGTGTTTAGGCATGGGCATGCTTGCCAGCGTGTACACCGATGACCAGGAGAGAGGAAACGCCATGGGGATTGCCTTGGGAGGCCTGGCCATGGGCGTCTTAGGTGGGTAAGAGCACTGTGCTGGGCGGGGTGGGGGTGGGGCTGTCAGAGTTGGACCCACAGTGATGCCAAGTTCACATTCATAGACAGATGGCCCAGCTCCCTTCTTGTCTGTTCCCACTTTCCTGGAGGCTTTGAGAAAGAAGTGGAGAACCTGGGCTGGGTGACCTCCAGCAAATCCCAAACATCATGGGGCCCATGCGTAAAACAAAGAGGTTCAAGAGGATGGACTTCTGAGGTCATCTCACACGTTCTGTGAGTTTAGATTAGACAGAAACTTCTAACCATTGACGTCTGTCTACTCCATCAGCCCTAGGAGACTCCCCACCCACCCCACTGCTGTAAAGTGGAGTCTAGCTCATAATGGTTCTCCGGGACAGTGGGAGCCCCTCCTACACTAGGGACACATTATCTTCCCTGAGAGGAGACTTCCATCCTTCCCCTTGTCGTTTACACTCCTGACCTGTCATTCTTGTGTGTTCGGGGGTTTAAAAACCCTGGTGCCAATAGTTAAGCACTCAGCTGGTATCCAAAAGGCTCATGGTTTTAACCCATCAGCAGTTCCAGCTCCAAGGGAGAAAGACGTGGCCGTATGCTTCTGTAAGCATCTGTAGCTTTGGAAACCCCATGGGGAGGTTCTACTTTAACCTGTGGGTCACTGTGAGTCAAAGATGTAGTGAAATCCATGTGGAACTGGTCACTTCAGATTAGTAATCATCACAAGGAAGTTCATGCTTACCTTGCTTACTGGGTATTCTGTCCTTGTCTGAGATCATAAATGTGAAACGAGGCTTTGATTCTGTAGGAAAGTGACAGAGATGCCAACCAAATCCTTGATGTGGTGAAATGTGTAAAATTGGTCACTACAGATTAGTAAGTAAGCACAAGTAAGTCTGTGCTTACCTTGCTTATTGATTGATCTGATGCTGGCTGGCACCAATCCCTTTCTCCTCCTTGCAGTGGGCCCCACCTTCGGGAGTGTGCTGTACGAATTTGTGGGGAAGACCGCGCCATTCCTGGTCCTGGCTGCCTTGGTGCTTTTGGATGGAGGTCAGTGAGCCTAAGTGGCACCTTGGCCGTGGCTATGGCTCATGTGATGGCTGTGTTTGGGCCACATCTGCTTTCTGTAAAGGGTGTTGTCTTTTTCTTTACAGCCATTCAGGTCTTTGTCCTCCAGCCATCCCAGGTGCAGCCAGAGGTAAGCAGTGGGGGATGAGGGTTCGAGGTGGCCGCTGGACTCTGTTAACTCTGTTTTCTGTTTGACAGAGTCAGAAGGGGACTCCGATAACCACCCTGCTGAGGGACCCATACATTCTCATTGCCGCAGGTGGGCTGGGTGATCTTCTCAGTCACTGGACTACGGGGGCTGGCCGCATGCGGTGGGGAGGGACCAGTTTCAGAAAACATTGGGTTTCCCACTCTCACCGTCAATTTCAGCTCCTAGCAACCCTCCAGGGCAGCTCCCTAGGATTTCTGAGACTGTAAATCTTTACAAGCACACATAGCCTTTCTCCATCAGCCTTGCAGGGACCACCAGAGCTTCTGCATCGGACTACATCACACCACACACAGAGCAGGCCGGGAGGTTACAAGTCCCAGTTGGGCTCCACCTCCACTATTCGTTGCTGGCACTCAGCCAGGCTCATTTTCTGGTTTTCATTTGGGGCAGATGACAAGGGTATACATGGAGCTTGCAGACATGTTGTGGACTGACAACTGGGGTCACAGACATGCCCTACCAGAGGTTTGTTTTGGGCCAGGTTTCCTCTCTGTGTTTGTCAAAGGACAACACTGACTTTGACCCGCCTGCAGGCATTGCGTGGGCAGTCTAAATCATCCTGGCTTGTAGGCAGAGGGACAGACAGACAACAGAGCCCCAGAGAGCCAGGAGGGGGCTCTCTTTCTGCTCTCCCCAAAGAACAACAGAGAGGCCAGCCCACAAAATGCCCTTCCAGAGAAGTCCATACCTTTGGTTTCTTGGCCTTGGTGGACTACAAAGAAGCTCGAGGTTCTGGGGCTCTTGGGAAGAATAATGGGTTACATTCACCCAACACCATCCTGGTGGCAGGGGCCACCATGTCCCCTCATGTCCTCTGCCAGACTTGGGGCTGCCTCACAACAACCCCACCTTGGGCTGTTGGACTAGGGTGTCATTAGTGGGGGTCCTGAGTGTGGCCTCAGGCCTTCCTGTTTCTCCCCAATGAAGGTTAGATTTGTCTAAGCTGGTTCACAGATACAACGGTCCAGCGGGGCCCAAGGGAACAGAGCACATGCCCCACCTCAGGTCATTCAACCCCAGCCCCTTTTAGCCTCTAGGCTGCTTTTGTTTCACCATCTCCTGCCATCTTTGGTCAGGGCAGCATGTCCATACTCCTGGTTAGACCCTGGACACCATGCTGTTGTATACGTGGTATAGTGGCCTCCTCACACAGCGGGGACTCTCCCTTTGTTCTGTCAAGATGCAGTGAGAATTCCAGGATTTCCAGATGTCCTTGGAACCCTGGGGACTGACTGACTGGATGGGGACGAAGAGGGTCGGGTGAGGTGGGACTCCAAAATGTAACTCCTGGTCCCTGAGGCAGACATCTGGGCAGCTCCATGCAGATTGGGCGCCTCGCCTTCTGGCTTGCTTGGAACCTCACTGTCCTGCTTCTAGGAGACCCTGGGTGGTGCATCTAATGAGGATCAGCTGCTAACCCAAAGGTTGGGGGTTCAAGTCCACCCAGAGGCACCTTGGAAGAAAGACCTGGAGATCTAGCTCTGAAATATTAGTCATTGAAACTCCAACGGAGCACAGTTCTTCTCTGACACACACAGGGTCACCATGGCAATTGAATTGACAGTAATTATTTGTTTGTGGCGCCCCTGCTCATGGAAGAAAATAGAAGAATCCACCCAGCACTAAATGTCAGGCTTTAACTGGGGGAGGGAGCTGAGGGCAAGGTGGGTGGAGAGAGTCCAGTCACATCTCACTGTCATTTCTGTGTTCCACCTTTAAATGTCACAAAGAACGAAGAAGTCTTCCTTGTTTTTGTGAGCACTTTAGTCATGATTGTACAATGTTCTCTGAATTGAGGTTCTAACAAATTAGAGGTTCCAAAGGGACACAGCACAGGAAGCAGCTCCCAGAACAACCAGGGACTGTTCTATGGGTCTTTTTCTAGAAGGTTCTGATTTTACAAAGCGTTCTGATCCACGGAGTGATAATGACTATGAACACAGATGTCCTATCGATGTCTTTGATTTTTGAAGAAGAACCCTCAACTCCACAACTGTACATAATGTACTCGAGTCTTCTGAGATTTTCTGGAACCTAGGGTAGCATTGAAAAAAAAAAAAAAAATCTGTGTTGCGGTACATGAAGAGATAGATGCAAGAACCTCAGGTGGCCATCTGTATATGGTCTGGGCACTGCTGGGTGACTTCAAGCAAGTTGTTGTTAGGTGCCATCGAGTTGGCACCAACACATAGAGATCCTGTGCATGGCAGAATGAAAACACTGCCCAGTCCTGCACCAACCATACAATTGTTGCTATGTCTCAGCCCATCGCTGCCGCCACTGTGCTAATCCATCTTGTTGGGGGTCTTCCTCTGACCCTCCACTTTACCAGACATGATATCCTTCTCCAGTGACTGGTCCCTCCTGACAGTATGTCTTAAGTATGAAAGACAAAGTCTGGCCATCCTGGCCTCCAAGAAGCACTCTGGCTGTACTTTTTGCAACACAGATCTTTTTGTTCTTTTGGCAGTTATGGTATTTTTAATATTCTTCAACACCATAACTCAAGTGCGTCAATTCTTCTATGGTCTTCTTTATTCACTGTCCAACTTTCGCATGCATATGAGGTTACTGAAAATACCATGGCTTGGGTCAGGCGCACCTCAGTCCTCAAGCTGACATCTTTGCTCTTCAGCACTCTAAAGAGGTCTTGTGCAGCAGATTTGCCTAATGCAATACGTCATTTGATTTCTTGACTGCTGCTTCCATGAGTGTTGATGGTTGATCAGAGCAAAATGAAGTCTTTGACAACTTCAATCTCTCAATTTATATGGATGTTGTTTATTGACCCAGTGATGAGGATTTTTGTTTTCTTTACATTGAGATGCAACCCATACCGAAGGCTGTGGTCTTTGATCTTCATCAGTATTTTAAGTCCTCATCAATTTCAGCAAGCAGAGTTGCATCATCTGCATATTGCAGGTTGATAATGAGTCTTCCTCCAATCCTGATGCCACTTTTTTCTTCAGATAATCCAGCTTCTCGGATATTTGCTCAGCCTAAAGATTGAATAAGTATGGTGAAAGAATACAACCCTGGCACACACTTTTCCTAATTTTAAACCATTTGGTGTTCCCTTGTTCTATTTTAACAACTGCCTCTTGGTTTATGTACAAGTTCCTCATGAGCACAATTAAGTGTTCCGGAATATTCATACTTTGCAGTGTTGTCCATAGCTTGTCATTATCCACACAACCAAGCAAGTTACTTCACTAATAAATTGGAAGACCCTTTCTTCATTAATCAATTATTGAAGGTGAAACCAAGTGATCTGTAAGGCTCCAAACTTTTTGACTTTGGGATTCCAGTTGATTAAAATCAACACCCTCAACACCCTTCTTTGTTTATATCCTTGACTTTTTATTCTTATCTTTTTCTTACCAAAGTAGGAAAAGAAGTTCTGGGTATCTGAGCTAACTCTCCTAGCTGAGTGTACTTCGGTTTAACTGTGTTTTGAGCTATAGAGGGCTTTCGAGATCCAAGATGATGTGCTCTTACCTTCTTCCTTCCTTCCAGGGTCCATCTGCTTTGCAAACATGGCCATCGCCATGCTGGAGCCGGCTCTGCCCATATGGATGATGGAAACCATGTGTTCCCACAAGTGGCAGCTGGGTAAGCAGGTCCTCCTGCTTCTGGAACTTTTACTCCAAGTGGCGGAGGGTGGGGGGAGGGGTCCCATCGCTGTAGTCCTGTAGAACCGTGGTACTGAAACAGTAAAATGATTACTTCTGTTGGATATCTTGGGGGCAGTGCTTAGAGCGACGGTGAGCTTTGAGGTCAGTTTTGGTTCCATTTTTTGTGTCATACATGATGGATAGAGAATGAATATAGAGGCATTAGACCTGGACAGAGAGGAGAAAGGAGAGCTAGATTAGCATCTCTCTATCTTCCTGACCACAATTAGTCCTACTAAATACACTTGGACAGCAATAGAATTTATGTGAGAGAGACTAAGAACAAATTTAACTCTTAAGAGCATGACTTTTTAAAATGGTTTTTACGTGAGAAAACGAGTATGTTTATTATAAGAAAATTAAAGTACACAAATCGAAGAAGTGAAAATCAAAAACTGCCTTGTCCATCTCTCCTCTCCCTGCAGTATAATGATGTTGTTTTTGTTGTTATTAAGTGCCGTCTTGCAGTTCAAACTGACCTGTGGTCCACTGCTTATCCTACAGTACCGCACCAGGACTCCACTGTTAACAGTTCTGTATATCTTTTTCCAGATGGTCTTGCATTTATCAGCACATGTATGATAAATTTGATCAATGTCACACATGTACTTAATTTTAAAACTAATGAAAAAGCAGCGGTCTCTGTCCCTGCTTTCCCTGACCCCGGTGTCAGATTTGGACACCTTCATCTTCTTTTAGGCAAAAAATCTGATGATCTACTTCTGAAAAAAATTGGCTAATGAAAATCTTAGGAATAGCAGTATTTACGAACATATCCCCCAAACTCCCTGGCAGAGATGGAAGGCTTTCTAAATTTGTCCTAGATTACTCTGGCCTCTGGCTCCAGCCTAGACTTGTTGCTCTCCAACCTGTCCTGGGACTTTTCTCCCCACCGTCCTGGCATCTTCTCTGCTTCCCTTCTGTTCTCTGGCTCCCTCTCCCCTGTATTGCTCTTTCTTTTTTCACTCCCACACTGTCATGGAACACATCCTCCAGCAGCTTTCTCAAAGAGGCTCATGGAAGGTCAGGTCCTCTGAGACTCTGCACATCTGCAAATGTTTTCATACCCACCTTGCACTTGGATGATGTAATCAGTCTGAGCATATTATTCTTGGTTGGAGATAATTTTCCTTTAGAAATCTGAGGCCACCGTTCTACCACTTCCTAGTATTCAAGGTGGCTGCGGAGGAGACAGTTGCTTTCACTCCCGGCACCTTCTCTTCCACTCTAGTTAATGAGCGTTCTCAGTGGTGATGCACTGTGAGTGGTTTCTCCGCTGTGCTGGCCACTTGCTCAGCACTTTCACTTGGGAAACAGCTTCTTCTCATATGTATGTATTTTCTTGACTATGAATTTATTATGAATATACTTTGTCCTTTGCTTTCTGATTTTGTGTTCTTTGCCTGGTGAGATCCGGCTGCTTTCGTAAATGTCTTGCAAATATTTACCCCACTTTGCCTTTTGAATTTACTGATAGTATTGCTTGCCACTCAGAACATTTCCAATGCCAGCAGTCTCCCTTTTATAACATGGGAATCTCAAGTCAAACCCAAAAAGACCTTTCCCATGCCAAGATTTCTTTTTTAATACCCGGATTTTCTTCTAATAGATTTATGGCTTTTTTTTTTTTTTTACATTAAAATTTTAAATCTGTATGGAATCTAGTGTTTGTTTGTTTGTTTCTGTATGACTGGCCAAGTGTTCTAAAACCATTTTTCAAGTAAATCATCT